TCAACTCCCAGAATACCCCAGCTAGCCATGCTGGCTGGGGAATTCTGGGAGTTGAAGTCCACACATCTTCAAGCTGCCAAGGTTGAGAAACACTGCTCTAAGCATTAAGCATCCCATTGTTTCAGGCAAGACAGATCCCAAAGACTCATGATTACAATGCACCCAAAGGTGCAGCTGCTTTCTGGGCTCAGCCAACTCTTAAGATAATCACAAATTCCAGAACCCCGAAAGGAAATTAAGAACCTAAGAACCTAAGCCATGCCCTGCTGGATCAGACCCCTGGTCCATCTCGTGCAGCAGTCCGTTCTCCCAGTGGCCAGCCAACTGCCTAAGGAAGCCCACCAGTCTCCCAGGAGATGGCCTTCAGAGGCAGTCCCACTCCCATCAAGGCCAAGAGCCGTTGATCCCCAGGACTTCCATGAATCGGTCCAACCCCTTTTGAAGCCAGTCAAGCTGGTAGCCAGCACCACTGAGAACCACTAGTCCAGCAGTCCGTTCTCCCAGTGGCCAACCAACTGCCCAAGGAAGCCCACGAGTCTCCCAGGAGATGGCCTGACCAAACTGGTGACCAAAAAGTAGAGGCCACCCTTCTCTTGCTTTTTCATGTCTAAGGCGGCAATCCCTGCCCCAGGAAGGCTCCAGATGTGGCCAAGGGGCCAAAGTTGCTGGCCCTCTCCACACCAATGTGGAGGCCCGTCCTCGAGCTGAGTTTCAGAGCTGTTCTTCCTCACTCTCAGGCACCCTCCTTTGAGAGGATTAATTGAGTGTCCCTGAGCAGAAGCACCCAACTGTCAAACCACTTGCCTTTGAAGCTGGAATGAGTCATTTGTTAACGCAGGAGGACAGGTACTCAAACCACTTTCCAGAACCAGTTGTGCCAAAGAGGGGCAGAAGTGCAGACGCCAACAAACAGGCCTCGTGTTGTCTTCTCTTTTTTCATGTTGATAGAATTGGGATTTATGTACTTGCTTTCTACAGAGAAGGCTTTGATTTATGCTTGTTGTATAAGACAACATTGTGCACAAACAGGGAGAAGAGACATAGGAGGAAGTAATGTTTTCAACCTTGGCAAAGAAGCATTGTGCCATCATAAATGTGAAGGGGAGCAGGAGGGACCTGAAATTCGATTGCTCATTACAACCAGAGAGATCTAAATCCCCAAGAAGGGCTCTTTTGAGGCTCCCCAGCAAGGCTAACTCCAGTCTGGCACCAGGACCTCACTGCTGCAGAACAGCGGTCTGGGGGCCCTGCAACTCCAGGAACCATCAGGCACACATGCCCTGGGCCTATTGTCCTTAAAAGGTTGAAGCCAAGTATCAGTTTCCATACACCAGGCTGCCATCCAAGAGTCAAAAAATCTTGCTTTGATCATGGGCTGAACAGTAAGATGAATCAGTGAGAGGCCCTGGGCTGTGGGCTTAAAGAGGATGCTGAAGTTATAGTGGAACTCTGTGCCCGCTCGCTGAAGGTAGAAATAATGGTTTTCCAGGTATTGCCATTACTAGCAATGCTGGAAGATGCAGCGTGCATCACCGTTCTACCAAACCTGGCCAACAACCCCGTGTTCTCAACAACTGCAAGGTATAAAGGAGCAAGCTGAGACTCACAAGCTCCCTTCTTTCTCTTACTGTCATATGGAAGATACGTCCATTCTCCAGTCTAAAGTTGAGTTTGGGAGGGAACAGCTCTTGCAGAGGAACCAGGACTAGCGCATCACCTGAATAAAATGAACTCAAAGCAAAATGAGGGCAAACATCTGGACCATTTGGGACCAATGCTACTGGGAGCAATTGAAGCGTGCACTGGTGTGGGGGCTTCTTCACCTGCTCTCCTCCAGGCGTCTCGGATGAGGCTGCCACCAAAGCCACATGGGCTGGAGTGGTGCAAGTTTCCATCTAGCACTCCAACTTGCAAAAGCCGCTCCGCTGCAACCCCATCTTTCTGAAGCCGCATCAGTAAACTGACTGCCATGGCTGGGACCAGAATTTGCGCCCAGTGAGCCAAGAGACCAGAAGGTTTCTCAGTGGACAAGGTTCAGGCATGAAAATTGCTTCAGCCCTGCCTGGGTGCGCCATGCCAAGAAAGAGGACACTGTGAGGGAGGGTCTAGGACCCTCACAAAGCGGGATGGGCAGAATTCACACCCCCATAATGCATCTGAGAAGAAAATTGGCGGTGGAGCAAAGTCGCTGCAGCTTCAGAGGATGGCATTTTGATGAGCTGGGGGCCAAAAAGGCATCTTTTCAACCCCGTAACAAGGAGCTCTACGTTCACTGTCTCCCTGGCTGCCAGTTAAGGATGAGACACTGAGCAGGTCCTGGGAACTCAGGGGATACCAGCCAGAGCTCCAAAACAGGGTGTCCAGGAGGCCCTCGAGGCACAGGCCGTCTCCTCCCCACCCGCCCACTCACCCCCAGCGGCCTTACAAGTGGCTCTTGAGAGAGAGGGAGAGACGTAAGGAGTTTGCGCCTAGCCGAAAATCAGTGTGAGAGCCACTAGAAGTCCTGCCAGCTGCTTCTTCTCTCCATCAAGTGGGGAGGCCAGGAGGACTCGAGATTCGGTGCCTGTCTCCGCTCCGGCGCTGTGGCAGGAGGCCAAGGCAAGAGCTTCGCCCCGGGAGCAAGCTGGGGAAGGCGGGTTAGGTTGGGGGGCAAAGAGCCTTTTCTTATCCAGCCGCGTCTAATCACGATGCCTCCGGGGTCCTGCAGACTGGCTGTCCAGCAGCAAAGCATCAATAACACAGGAACAAAACCACAAAGCAGAGTTTACACACAGACCCAAACAAAATAACAAACCCATAGCAACAAAGGGGAAGACCTCAACCTCCCTCAGTTCCCAGCACATTTTGGAGTTGAGCAAAAAAAACAACTCCCCCCCAGTCAGTAATGCTTTCCCCCCACTTTCTGCCCTGGAAAAAGGCTGGAGGACCACTCCCCCCTACCCCCCACCCAGGGCTTGGTGGATGTTTAATTATTTAGTATTTGCTTAGCACAGTGTTTCTCAACCTCAGCAACTTTAAGATGTGTGGACCTCAACTCCCAGAATTCCCCAGCCAGCTATGCTGGCTGAGGAATTCTGGGAGTTGAAGTCCACACATCTTCAAATTGCTGAGGTCAAGAAACACTGGCTTAGCAGATTTATACCGCCGCCTATCTCATACACGCAACGGGATGTTGTTATCCAGTGCGTTAAAAAAGCCCCACACTGGGAAACCACCTTAGTGATATGACGATGGTGATGGTGGAGGAGGACCCAAAACAGGGTTCTTAGCCCGGAGACGATGGCCAATAACTTCGCCGGACACGAGAAACTCTTTAGAGAAAAATTCCTTTCTTGGTGCGCAGCAGCAAAGGGGATACCTCTATCTAAAGAGGGTCCCCGAACACAAAGAGATCAGGGTTTTTATACAATTTGCTTCAAGGAGATAAAACATGTAGAGATTACTGATCGTTCAAGAAGTTCTTCATCACCTTAAGTGGGATTTCCCTTTGATCTCTTCTGTGCAGTGGACCCCTCCCCGTATCTTTTGTTTTCTCAAGAGATGTCAACTGCAGGTGAATACAGTTAATAGGTTACCAAGGTTAGATGCAGGCTAACCGAGAAGGTTCAGCTATGGATGAATGCATCCTGAATGCATTTAATAGGTGATCTAGGTTAGATGTAGGCTAACCGAGAAGGGTCAGCTACGGGTGAATACATCCATGCTGTCCTGCAAGAATCACAGGCACGATACTTTTCCATTCCATGCTCTTCAGTGGTGATGAAGAAGAAGAATTAAACTTGTAGGCTCAACAACTCTGGGGAGCTCCCAACCATCAAAGAAATTACAATAATATCATAACTGGATTAGGTAACTGAACAGGGACATCTAGCGGTGACCAAAACACAGCTTAGCTTAGAGAAACTTCCTAGAATAAAAACAGGAAAAACGCTAACAAACTCGGGGCTTTTTGGCTAAGAGAAAGCCCTCTTTTCGTTGTTGTTACTTCATCTCTTCATCCAAGAAATGCCAGTCTTTAGACCAGGTATTTTCTGACAGTTTGGGTTCAAATAGTGAACTAAGAATCATGGAAGTATGTAGTTACTATACATACAGGGTTTCTCAACCTTGGCAACTTTAAGACGGGTGGACTTCAACTCCCAGAATTCCCCAGCCAGCATAGGCTGG